TTAAGAGTTATGCTTTTCAAACTTCTACATTATATTAACTTGATGAGTCAATCATGATTAAAAACTGAGAATCTACTATTCATACAGGTCTAATACTGACCTAGTCACATTTATCAGCCTAATATGCAGTGCAAGGAAGCAAACTATTGATATATCAAGAGCATAAGTGTTTGATGAAATTTGCAGATAGATTTCTTGATGTATCTTTGTAATAAGGAACAACACATTTTTTAAAATCACTGTGCATCTTTATTATCTCTAATTATCTATGATTAGTATCAGAGGGGTAGCCGTGTTAGTCTGAATCTGCAGAAGCGATGAGGAGTCCTGTGGCACCTTATAGACTAACTGAAGTGTAGGAGCATAAGCTTTCGTGGGCAAAGACCCACTTCGTCAGATGCATGTAGTGGAAATTTCCAGAGGCAGGAATAAATATGCAGGCCAGGATCAGGCTGGAGATGACCAGGTGGATCCAATCAAGGAGGATGAGGCCCACTTCTAGCAGCTGATCTGGAGGTGTGAATTCCAAGAGAATAGAAGCTGCTTTTGTAGTTAGCAAGCCATTCACAGTCTTTGTTTAATCCAGAGTTGATTGTGTCAAACTTAAAGATGAACTGTAGCTCAGCAGTTTCTCTTTGAAGTCTGGTCCTGAAGTTTTTTTGCTGCAGGATGGCTACTTTTAGATCTGCAATTGTGTGTCCAGGAAGATTGAAGTGTTCCCCTACAGGTTTTTGTATGTTGCCATTCCTAATATCAGATTTGTGTCCATTGATTCTTTTACGTAGGGACTGTCCTGTTTGGCCGATGTATATAGCAGTGGGGCATTGTTGGCACATGATGGCATATATTACGTTGGTGGATGTGCAGGAGAATGTACCAGTGACAGTATTGCTGATCTGGTTAGGTCCTGTGATGGTGTTGCTGGTGTATATATGTGGGCAGAGTTGGCACCGAGGTTTGTTGCAAGGATTGGTTCCTGAGTTCGAGTTATTATGGTGCGGTGTGTAGTTGCTGGTGAGAATATGCTTCAGGTTGGCGGGTTGTCTGTGGGCAAGGACCGGCCTACCTCCCAAGGCCTGTGAAAGCGAGGGATCATTGTCCAGGATGGGTTGAAGATCACTAATGATGCGTTGGAGAGGTTTTAGCTGGGGACTGTAGGTGATGGCCAGTGGTGTTCTGGAGATCTACATTACACACTTCACTTCTCTACAGAGGAAAAAGGACTGTAAGCTGTCTAAAATCCTACCTGCCACATGGGGCCACAACAATGGTACCCCTAACTCACCCAGCAATATCGTCAATCTCTCCAACTACACACTCAGCTCGGCAGAAGAATCTGTTCTATCTCGGGGACTCTCTTTTTGCCCCGCCACCCCCACTAACATGATACAGTTCTGCGGTGATCTGGAAGCCTACTTTCGCCGTCTCCGTCTCAAGGAATACTTCCAACACGACACTGAACAGTGCACTGACACACAGATACCTTCCCACCAACAGCACAAGAAGAAGAACTCCACATGGACTCCTCCTGAGGGCCGAAATGGCAGTCTGGACCTCTACATAGAATGCTTCCGCCGACGTGCACAGGCAGAAATTGTGGAAAAACAGCATCGCTTGCCTGGTAACCTCAGTCGTGCAGAACGCAATGCCATCCACAGCCTCCGGAACAACTCTGACATTATAATCAAAGAGGCTGACAAAGGAGGTGCTGTTGTCATCATGAACAGGCCTGACTACCTAAAGGAGGCTGCCAGACAACTCTCCAATACCAAATTCTACAGGCCACTTTCCTCAGATCCCACTAAGGAATATACTAAGAAACTGCACCATCTGCTCAGGACACTCCCCAAACAAACACAGGAACAAATCGACACACCTTTAGAGCCCCGACCAGGGTTGTTCTATCTATTACCCAAGATCCACAAACCTGGAAATCCCGGACGCCCCATCATCTCGGGCATTGGCACTCTTACTGAAGGACTGTCTGGCTATGTGGACTCTCTGCTCAGACCCTACGCCACCAGCACTCCCAGTTACCTTCGTGACACTACGGATTTCCTGAGAAAACTACAATGCATAGGTGATCTTCCAGAAAACACCATCCTAGCCACCATGGATGTAGAGGCTCTCTACACAAACATCCCACATGCAGATGGAGTACAAGCTGTCAGGAACAGTATTCCTGATGATGCCACAGCACAACTGGTGGCTGAACTCTGTGAATTTATCCTCACACACAACTATTTCAGATTTGGTGACAACATATACCTCCAGACCAGTGGCACTGCTATGGGCACCCGCATGGCCCCACAATACGCCAACATTTTTATGGCTGACCTGGAACAACGCTTCCTCAGCTCTCGTCCACTTACACCCCTTCTCTACCTACGCTACATCGATGACATCTTCATCATCTGGACCCATGGGAAGGAGACTCTGGAAGAATTTCACCATGATTTCAACAGCTTCCACCCCACCATCAACCTCAGCATGGACCAATCTACACGGGAGGTCCATTTCCTGGACACCACGATACAAATAAGTGACGGTCATATCAATACCACCCTATACAGAAAACCTACCGACCGCTATACTTACCTGCATGCCTCCAGTTTCCATCCCGGACACACCACACGATCCATTGTTTACAGCCAAGCACTGAGGTACAACCGCATATGCTCCAACCCCTCAGACAGAGACCTACACCTACAAGACCTTCAACAAGCATTCTGTAAACTGCGATACCCACACGAGGAAGTGAGGAGACAGATTGACAGAGCCAGACGTGTACCCAGAAGCCTCCTGCTACGGGACAAGCCCAAGAAAGAAACCAACAGAACACCACTGGCCATCACCTACAGTCCCCAGCTAAAACCTCTCCAACGCATCATTAGTGATCTTCAGCCCATCCTGGACAATGACCCCTCGCTCTCACAGGCCTTGGGAGGTAGGCCGGTCCTTGCCCACAGACAACCCGCCAACCTGAAGCATATTCTCACCAGCAACTACACACCGCACCATAATAACTCGAACTCAGGAACCAATCCTTGCAACAAACCTCGGTGCCAACTCTGCCCACATATATACACCAGCAACACCATCACAGGACCTAACCAGATCAGCCATACTGTCACTGGTACATTCTCCTGCACATCCACCAACGTAATATATGCCATCATGTGCCAACAATGCCCCACTGCTATATACATCGGCCAAACAGGACAGTCCCTACGTAAAAGAATCAATGGACACAAATCTGATATTAGGAATGGCAACATACAAAAACCTGTAGGGGAACACTTCAATCTTCCTGGACACACAATTGCAGATCTAAAAGTAGCTATCCTGCAGCAAAAAAACTTCAGGACCAGACTTCAAAGAGAAACTGCTGAGCTACAGTTCATCTTTAAGTTTGACACAATCAACTCTGGATTAAACAAAGACTGTGAATGGCTTGCTAACTACAAAAGCAGCTTCTATTCTCTTGGAATTCACACCTCCAGATCAGCTGCTAGAAGTGGGCCTCATCCTCCTTGATTGGATCCACCTGGTCATCTCCAGCCTGATCCTGGCCTGCATATTTATTCCTGCCTCTGGAAATTTCCACTACATGCATCTGACGAAGTGGGTCTTTGCCCACGAAAGCTTATGCTCCTACACTTCAGTTAGTCTATAAGGTGCCACAGGACTCCTCATCGCTTCTGCAGATTCAGACTAACACGGCTACCCCTCTGATATATTTAAACTGCAGACCCACAGCGGGGGTAGGTCCCAGGACGGAGCAGTCCCGGCTTGCACTTAGTCCCAGACTGCTGCCCCTCTGTATTTTAAATGTAGTAAGAGCCAGGTGGCTCTTACCCCTGCTGTGGCTCTTACCCCTGCTGTGGCTCTGCATTTTAAATGTAGTAAGTCCAGGACCACTGTGCCTATGCCCTCTTCCCTTCCCCCCTCCCTCCCGCGCCGCAGAGATGGTGCTGGGGGGAACCGGCTTTTTACTCGGGGGAAGTAAGTAGTTGAGTAATGACGAACTTTAAATCACATTATTCTTCTGACCAGGGCTCGCCAAGCAACGGCGAGCCCCGCTTGCCAGCCGCACGGTTTGGCATGCTGCGCATGCGCTAATCGTGCTGCGGCGCCATGCTGGGCTAAAATCTGCTCACCATGGGTGAGCAGATTGCCCTAATTGTCGAGCCCTGCTTATTGGGTAGTCAACTACTTGACTAGTCATTTACATTCCTAGTGGGGCATATGTGTGTCTTTACTTTTAATAATTTTATACAATCTGTGACTGAACCCTATGTACATTATATTCTCACTAGACATAGATTACAAAGTATTTATTGTAAAGAAGGTTTATTTTTAGTTCCATTGTTATGGCTCTAAAATAATTTTTCAGACTAATTAGTAGAAATATTGTCTTTTAACATATGTGCATTCTATTAATAAGAACTTCTAATGATTACAGTAGAACAGATTGTTTTCTAATTTCATATAACATATCATTTATATTCTGTTTTAAATGTAAGCTTATTGCCATTTCACTGACCTAATTAGTATGGCTGTGTTCCATTTTATAACTATTCATGAATTAATGTAGACTGAGAGATACACTTAATATATATTTGGTCACTGTGGAATGTTATATGGCTTGTTATGAATAACTTGTATAGGATACTTCTTCAGTTCCAAAAAGTCTTCATTATGTCTTAGAAATATGATCTGGGTTATTAGTTGAATATGTGAAGATGAACAAATTCATCTTCTAACACAGTCTTTTCTGTTCAATATTGAAAATATGATTTAATGTTAATATTTATTTTATTTCAAAACAGCTGCTCATTTCAGATGACTTAAAGAGGAATGAGCATAGTATGCACTGAATACATGTGAACATATTGTAATCATTAGTCTCACTAATATAGGTACTTGTAAAATATGTTAAACACTTGTAATCATTTGGATTTCAGTTTTGGGATTTTTTTTTTTTGGTCCTCTCCCAGTCTGCTATCGAATACAGAGATCTTCTGGAGAAAATTCACAAACTTGAGCAAAACCACATGAAGAGGTTCCTTTTGGTGAAGCAGGAGGAATATTTTGCGAAGGCTTACCGCCAGCTGGCTATTTCCCAGAGAACAGAGCTCCATAATTTCTTTTTTACACAGATAAAAAATGCTGTTTTCAAGGGAGAATTAAAACTAGACACGGCCAAAGCAATAGTAGAGGATTACTCTAAAATACAGGTAACGTAAAAATTCCACTCTTAACCTTCTATTAGAAAACAGTCACATGTTAATATTTGTGAAATGTTTCTGTAAATATATACACTTGCAGAGCTTTGCTGTGTTATCACTTCTATAAGTGATTGACAGTAGAAATAAGATGCAAAACTACAGTCCCATAATTTTAAAAATGTAAAAGTCTAAACAAACATGATTAACGAACCCCAATAATGATAGGAATTGTGCATGCTCACTACAGCAGTCTATACCAGCTAATTGGGTTTTATATGATGTCATGATGATGAGGGTTAGCCAGCAGCCTGGGGATTAAGGGGTTAACCACACCTAGGCAGGTGGAGTGGCCAATAGAAATGTAGGTAGGACTTTCAAACTGGGACAAAGGAATTTGGGTTTTTTCTTTTCTCCTTTTGTTTCTCTGGGTGAGTCCTCTGAAGCAAGGGGAGGAACAAGCATGTCTCTCTCTCCCCAAGAAACAATTCTTCACTTTCTGTAAATAGGGTAAAGTTTAGGTAGTTTTGTTAGGCTTTATTTTTTTAAGGGTTGGGTATGGGATCTCATATCTGGCACTGCTTAAGAGATGTTTGACTTTTCTTTTTAACTAAGTTCTAGCCCATGGTGTAATTCCTCCATGAGTATATTTTGTTACCTTTCCATCTGATCCTTATGCTTGCAACAGGAATGTTGTTGTTATAATAAAAGTTTTCTCTTTTCTTTTTATTAACCTGGCATTGGTTACTTGTGTGTCCTGATTTTTATAATAGGGGTGAGATTTCCCAAATGATCTTTCCCCTCATCTCGTTATTAATATTTGGGTGGTGGCAGCGAAAATTTTATTCCCAAAATCTAGGTTTTTAAGATTTTGGGGGAAGTTTTATACCAAAGCCTGGTAGATAAGGTTTTGGGGAGCACCTGCTGGCTCCCACTTCTGCATTTATCGTGCCAGAGTGGGGAAGGAGCCATGACACATGACAAATGTGAACACTTGTGGCATGTTGTTAAAGCTCAGGGGTAAATTCTTCAAAAGTGCTTAGTGACATAGAATCCTAAATCACTTATGAACTTTCGGAAGTTTTACCCTGTATCTTAAATTGGAAATTGCTCAAGGGAAAGGCCATTAAAAATAGAGTCTAGATTTGTATTTGTTTTCTAGTGAGCATTGGGGGCAGGGGAGGGATAGCTCAGTGGTTTGAACATTTGCCTGCTACACCCAGGGTTATGAGCTCAGTCTTTGAGGGGGCCATTTAGGGATCTGGGGCAAATCTGTCAGGGGTGGTACTTGGTCCTCCCATGAAGGCAGGGGACTGGACTCAATAATTTTTCAAGGTCCTTCTAGTTCTATGAGGTATATCTCCATATATTATACTATCCTTGATCCCCAGTTCAGCAAGGAAATTAAACATATGCCTACTTGTAAGTACATGACTAGTCCTGCTAAAGTCAACAGGACTGCTCATGTGTTTAAATCTAGGCTCATGCATCAAGTATGTTGTTGAATCAGTCTCATTGACTTCCATGGACTACTCTGCGTCGTAAGCGGCGTGTGTTCAGGCCCATAGATCAAAAAACTGTGTTAAATTCATGCACTGTAATAACTTGACACAATCCTCTAATTTAAAATACTTTTAACTAGTATGAAAGTTCTTTGTTGTTTTTCACTTGTAAAGGCTGTTTAACTTTATTCTTTAATGCACTAAGCTAATCTAAATAATCTCTCTCAGGTATTAGTTAAAATGAACATAACTTATCATTAGACATATGTGTATATTTTCTTTCCCATAGGGGGACTTTGAAGAATTGATGGATTTTTTACAGGCTAGTAAGAAGTATCATCTGAGTAAAAGATTTGCTTACAGAGAGTACCTGATAAAGAATATGCACTTATGGGATTCTTATACCTCTTCTCTCTTGAACACAGCAATAAGCCAGATAGCAAGTCTCATAAACAAGATTGAAAGGTAAATATATCTCTATTTTAACTGTTTCTGGTGTCTTCGCTGCTGTGTTAACTGAGCAGTACAGGGCACGCTTAAAAACATTTTAGCTATACCTAATAAAGGTTTAAAAAAATAATTTAAAAGTTTAGTGAGAAGGATTATTATTTTTAAAATCATATAGGGAAATATTGAACAGCTACCATATTGGTTATTCACCATCATAGTGTAATATACAGTATTTGGCCCTGATACCAGAACATAGAAACACTGCTGTCCCACCTACCCAGTTAGAGCCCATTAACTACAGTGAGGCTCTAAATGGGTACATCAATTTATTTGTGTGCTGCACATTACAGGAGCAGGGTCATTATATGTGAGTTGACTAATGATAGTGGGCCTGCTGAAAGAACAAGGTTTTTTTCTACTACAGGCTATAAATAATCTTTAGACTAAGTGGTAGACACATGTGCTTTGGTGTGAATCAGGGGTTCTAGTCACAACCCCAGTTGTGATGTAGATCTGAATTATCTGCTGCTGTGAATGTGTTAAAATAAGATCTTGCTTATTTTCTTTTATCCCAGCCTCACTCCATGTCATACTTGTCCAAATGACTGACTTCCATTTTTGTTTTTAATATGTGATTTGCTTAACTGGATCATTCAGAGTTAGATAAGTGCAGTGTCTTAAGGATAGAGTCAAAACTTGCCTTACAAATGAAGTGTTCCAGTCAGCTTCTTTAACTGATGGGACCCTGTATAGTTAGACTCATTCACAGTTGCCCATATTCTGCTACTGAGAGGATTTTTCCCACTGAAGTCAGCAAGGCTTTGGGGCTGATTATGCATCCTTTACTTTTTGAGATAGTCCTCACCCACCTGAATAGCCTACGTAACTCAATAGGAATACCCTACTGATCAGGCCCCTGTGTGTATGAAAAGCTAGACCTAGATGAACAGCCAACTCTTGATTCACTTCTAAATTTAGCATGTAGGGTTAGGAGCTGGATATATGGTCTCAAATTGGAATGCACAAATGTTTTCCAAAGGAAAGATGATCTCCACAGTTGACTGAGCTTATAAATAATATAATTGTTATCGATCTTTATTAGCAGACAAGACACATGCTTTTGGGAATTTTAAAGAATAAATGTGGATAAAGTAGTAAGTAGAAATGAATTGGCAAACATATTATTTAGCTGCTTTGGGGTATTTCTTTTAGGTCATATGGGTTTTGGGATGATTCAGATATTGTATTTGAGAATACTGTAGAAATATCCCTGAAAGTAATATGAAGACATAAAAAATGATGAAATGCTGCAGGAGAAATGAGCAGTTAAAATTATATGACAATATAGAGCAATTTGAAGGAGAACTCTAGCTAGTACCAAGAGAGATGCAGCATCTGCTAGCCTGGCATACAGAGAAACTACTGAAGAGTATGCCAGGAAAGTAGAATGTGGCATGGGCAGGAAAGCAAATTACTAATTTTTTATTGATTCTTTGCCCACATCTTTCTTTATATATTTTAGACATCTATATAGGTGCCAAGTGCCAGTCATCTGGGTGCCTTATGTTACAGAAACATATACAAAATATAATCCACACTTCTCAGTCAGAAACCGGACTATAGAGACATCTCACTATTTAAGTTGTTTTCTTCCCTGTTGTTCTTAACTGAAAAGTAAAAATAATAGAAGATTTAGAGTTTGGCTTTCAAATGATTAAAAAATTAATCTGACATTTTGTGTGCTTTTTCCCTGTGCTATACTGATTTCATGGGGGAAACCAATATTTTTAAAATTGGGGGTCCTGATCCAAAAAAGACTTACGCGGTTATATTAGAGAGGTCATGGTATTGCCACCCTTAGTTCTGCACCAACTTCAGAACTAGGCAGCCAGAGGGTGGAAGCTGTTGGCCAAGCACCCAGCTCTGAACACAGTGCCCCACCAGCAGCAGCACAGAAGTAAGGGTGATGATACCACACCAGGCCACCAGTATTACCTGTAAGCTTGTGCGGCCACTCAGGAGAGATTCAAATGCTGCTCAGCAATTAGCAAAACACCCACAGCTAGGTTCTTTGTTTCTGCTGGTGGTGCACGTTGGCACATGCCTTGGTGTCCATAAAATTTAGTCTGCACATAGATGGAAGAAATCCACACATGGATGCTTACTTCTCCACTACTGCCTTCAGAGTTAGGCAACCAGACAGAGGTGGATGCTGACTTAGGGCCCAGCTCTGAAGGCAGTAACACACAAGTAAAGGTGGCGATACCATACCATACCATCATTATTTCTGAACTGCTGCTGGTGGGATGATACCTTTAGAGAGGAGTACCCGGCCAACAGCCACTGCTCTCTGACTTCCCAGCTTTGATGTCAGTGCAGATATAAGGGTTACAATACCACGAACCCCCTAAAATAAACTTGTGTCTTGCCATTCTCCAGCTTCCCATCTCTAAAGACAGCAGTTCCACCAGCAGCTGTGCAGAAATAAAAAGAACTGAAAACACCCCCCCCCCCCACACACACCCACAAGCCCCCCAAAACTCCTTTTTTTGGGCGGGGGGGGGGGGGAGTGAGCACCTCTACAATTATAATACTGTAAAATTAAATTATAAATCTTATGACCATGACATTGACCAAATGTGAATTTGGTAGGGCCCTAGTTATAACTTCAGGCACCCTCCCCTACCCCACCTCACCTCCCATCACAAAGTATGCTTGCATTCAGAAAATTGTCAAGACCTGCATGGTATTTTTCATTCTCTGAATATTGATACTGTAAATCTACACAATGTAGTATTTCAGAACATTCTCCAGGGTCATTCTGCTGCAGGCGAAGCTGAGAATTATACTCAAAACCTAGAAAAGGAATAATTCCATGGTAGATGGGCCAGAATTTCAATGTTTAATTATAAGGGGAATTGGGGAATATTTACAGACCAGAGCATAAGAAATAATAAGAGCTGGAAAAATTTAAACCAAAATGCTTGTCCTTTTAAATTGTATCATTAATCTCCTTTGCTTTTTCATCTTACCCGTCAACTCCCACTTCTCTAGTTACAAATTTAGATATTCTTTTATCAAAAGTAGCATACCAGGTTAGGTACCTTAAGCATATAATTATAGATGGGATTATTAAAGGGACTTTTGAGATGCATAATCATTTTATATCTAGAAAAGAAGTTGGGAAAAGATGTGGATGAGAGAGAATGCATATAAACAAAATTAGAGCAACATATAACAGGCATTTTACAAATGCTGAAAAGGGTTTTTTAAAACAGAGCTTAATAGAATATGTAAAATTAGAACATTTATCTAGTGGTGTTGAGGTCCTTAACTCAAATAAGCGTTGATTTTCTTCACTTAAATTATTGTTCCGGGGTGGGTTTGGAGACGAGGGGGTCAGTATGCAGGCTGCCCCAGGGAGAGAGGACAGCCCCAGCCCTCTATTACCAAAGCAGTTTGGGGATAGATGAGAAGTTCCTGTCCAGGGCCTCTGCTGCTCCAACAGGCACAGCCGGGGGTAGAGATGTTCATTTTCCATGGCTGGGGGACAGACACACAGACAAACTCTCTAAAATACGTAGTAGATAGTTGTTCCTTTCTCCTCCTCTTTCCCCTTGCTGGCCCAATAGAGTTATAGCTGTCCCAGTCCTCATCTCTGGCCCCTTGCTGTCATCCTGTGGTCACTCTGTGGTACAGCTGTCCCTCCTGCCAGATTCCCTTTCTGTCCATGTTATGTGAAACAATCAAATTCCACACACATCTCATTTTCCTTGCACAACCAAACCCTGACCTTGCTTTAAGTAAAGAGAAGAGGAAGCCACATACCAAATTTGGTGAGTCTAGCTCTTACCATTTAGAAGGCGTTCTTGAACAAAAGGATTCACAGACAGATGGCTAGACAAACACATTTTTTAAATATATAGTAAGATATATAAATATTGGGTAAAAGGTCAATCAAAATTTGTATGCAAAAGATACTGTAAGAATATTATCAAAATAAGCAAATTGTGAGTTTCAGTTGTAAAAACAGACACTCGAGGACAATAGAGAAAATTTCAAACAAAATCTAGAGGCCAGGATTTTGAAACTTGACTGTCTAAAGCTAGCATTTATATAGAAGCCTGATTTTTCTGAGCAAGTTGCAGTCACTCAGCTTCTTTGCAAAATCAAGCTATTGATGTGGGTGCCTAAATATGGATTTAAGTGCCTGGCTCTAGGTATTTGCAGTGCTGTTGTACTCCTGTTGGTCCCAAGATATTTCAGAGACAAGGCTTTTATTTGAACAACTTTTGCTGATGGAAGAAAAAAGCTTTCAAGTTTCTCTTTATACTAACATAATTTGATCCAGTAAAATATATTACCTCACCCACCATGTGTGTCTAATTCTAGGTATAGAAGTTTGAAATTTTTATCTATATTATAGTAGGCAAGGCTGGATATTCAGATGTCTCTGGGCAAGATTCTCTCTCCATTCCATTCTGCCTTCTTTGCATCACTCAGTGCAATGGGGCTGTATTCTGGCCCAGACAACCTACTGAGATTTTTGCCAGGGGTTAGGGAGCTCTCAGCTGACATAAAGCCAGTGTAGTTGGTTCCTATGCCAACTCTACGCCTTCTGCCCTCCTGTACAAACACTGTCTTGGGAGGAGAGGGGTCCAGCTGCACTTTGCCAAATCTTAGCTGGTCCCCTTAAGGACTTGATCTTAGCTGGTCTTCTTGAGGAGCAATGGTCTCAAGTTACAGTGGGAAAGGTCTAGGTTGGATATTAGGAAAAACTATTTCACTAGGAGGGTGGTGAGGCACTGGAAAGGGTTACTTAGGGAGGTGGTGGAATCTCCCATCCCTAGAGGTTTTTAAGTCCCAGCTTGACAAAGCCGTGGCTGGGTTGATTTAGTTGGGATTGGTCCTGCTTTGGGCAGGGGGCTGAACTCTATGACCTCCTGAGGTCTCTTCCAGCCCTGGGATTCTATGATTCTTAAAGAGCTGGGCTGGAGCTGATGTGATCTATGAAT